CGGTGGCAGTGGTGCCGGCTGCAACGGCGACAATGGCAGCGTCGGGTGCTGGTGGCGATCAGGACGAGTTCTACCTGCGTTACTACGTGGGCCACAAGGGCAAGTTCGGGCACGAGTTCTTGGAGTTCGAGTTCCGCCCCGACGGCAAGCTCCGCTACGCCAACAATTCCAACTACAAGAACGACACCATGATCCGCAAGGAGGTCTTCGTCTCCCCCGCCGTACTCCGAGAGTGCCGCCGCATCATCGCCGACAGCGAGGTTCCCCCCTCACCCCTTTCGATTAGGGTTTCGATTTCTAGGGTTTATTTTGGATTTGCTCCTTTTGTGATCATGCTAGTCCTTTGTGCGGTTGGTTTTGCTGCAGATCATGAGGGAGGACGACAATAACTGGCCGCCCCCGGATCGGGTCGGCCGGCAGGAGCTGGAGATCGTGATGAACAACGAGCATATCTCCTTCACTACTTCCAAGATCGGGTCCCTCGTCGACGTCCAGGGTAGCCAGGATCCCGAGGGCCTTCGCGTCTTCTATTATCTTGTTCAGGTTTGTGATGTTTCAATTATTGTTCCTTTTGGATTGTTTGTTCTTTCCGGTTCCTACTTGTTGCCCAATGAAGAGCGGGCTTCAAGGTAGAATGCGAATGGGAGGGGTAGGAGAGGCTTAATGAAATGTGTGTGCATGTAGAATAATAGAAAGGATCTTAGTTGATGAATGTTCTCTTAGCTGTTCAATTTCTCTCCTTTTCTTTTAAAGCTTTGTTATTCTTCTGCCCTTCAATTTTTTTTCAGAGAAAATGTAAAAGCTTTAACATGATGTACATAATCTCCGATGAGATCAGAGTTCAAAAATGTTGTCTTCAATAAGCTATGCGCTTTTCCTAGTCATATTAGTCCTTTTTCACCCAAGCAAAATTAACAAGTCAATAAACTATGTGGTTTTATCCTCTATTGATATGATTGACTTGCACAATGTCTTCTTGATCTCCAATGATTTGCACGACTTAAGAATCTGCACCAGGATTTGAGAGTCCGGTTCATCATGAATCCTTTTCAGATAAATGTTCTCATAGCTGTTCAAATCTTTTTCCTTTTTTTTGAATTCTCATTATTACCCGACCTTCATACTATTTCCTTAAAAAAATGTAAAACTTCTATGGTTACTCAACTGAAGCATGTATTAATCATTGATGGAATCTCAGTTCAAAATATGAAGACTCTTTACAGTATAATTAGCAGTCAATGTCAGATCGGTCCTATTTACCCTAGTCAAATTAGTGGGTCAATAAGCTATGTCTTTTGCTTTTTGATAGACATGACTGACTTTTACGATTCAAAAATATTTTTGTATCTCCAAGGAATTTTGTGACTTCAGAATTTGCACCAAGATCTGTAAGCTTCAGCAGCTCCTACTTAAGAGTATGTGCTTGGCTTCCAAAACACCAACATTTTGAGCTCTTAATATTCTCTCTAGACAGAGATCTGTATGATAGGTGATGATAGATGTCGTGATGTAGTTTTCCTGATGTTGAGTCTAAGCCATGATGATTCATGGGTGAAAAAAATGAAAGAACTTGGTGTTGAGATGTGGTGGAGGTCGACAGTGATCAGGATTATGCTATATACACTTGTTGTGTGTGCACTATCATTTAGATAGAAGCCCATTGTATATCCCATTTTGTTTTTGGTTCCAGCAAAGTACTATTAGTTTTACTATGCCTTTTATAAATCTGATTTTGCTATAGGTCCCTTACTTGTGTAAGGCTTTCCATCCATCTTAAAAACAAGAGTAAACTTCAATTTTTCATCTTCGGCTGTATAACCATTGTGGTTAAGGTACTTGTCCGTCAAACAAGTTTTTTATTACCTTCCCAGACATATTTATGCTTGTTAATTTGACGTTATTTTTTCTAATTCTGATGTGAAATTATCATGTTCAGATTTAGACAGATATTTTTCTGGTAAACTGGTATCAATTGGTTCTGTTTCATGAACTTTCAGTTACTGCTCTCTTAAGGTAGCTTTGCTTCATTCTCCAGTCATAAGAAAATATCTCTGGCCATGTGATCAGCTTTTTAAATGTAGTTTTCGTAGATTTTTTTTAAAATCAATTTTTTTAGGTATTCACTCTTAATGAGTTGCAATGGTTTATTCTTTTTCCCCTCATACTAAGGGTTTGCAGATTGAATTTACTTTTTCAACATGCTGTACATATTCTAAGCTGAAGACTTGTTCATTATTTTGCATACTTCTCATCCTTTCTACTACTTGATAAAAATTTTGATGTCAATGAACTAAAATATTTCATTGACAATGGTGTAGAGTGTCTAATTGTGTATTACAATTTATCTTTTCTTTCTTTTGTATCTATTTTTTGCTTTTTAAACACTGTTTGCTATTTTGATTGATTGGGCTTATAGTGAAGAAAAAATTGGTGATGACTGAATATTTTCTCTTCTATATAGTGGCCATTTTGGAAAGAACTTTATTATTGACTATCTTGTTGTAGAGAATTATGAAATGGATACACTTCTGGATGATACTGAATAGCTAATTAGTATATGCAATAGATTCCACTAAATTCTTGGGATTCTTTTTGTAATAAAACATAGTTGATGTTAGTAACATCTTTCACTGGCAGCTCATAATAGGTGCCTAGGATTTTTTTGTGCTTTCATATTTCTACTCCTTTGTTAGGAAAAAAGAAGCTTGATTGTGTGATGGCTGGGGATATGATCAGTCACAAGTTCTTCTGATGTATGTGGATTATAGCTTAGATTTATTAAGGCTCTTCATAAATTCTATCGTCTGTTTGGATACATCTAATAAAATTGGAATGATACAAAGAAGATTAGCATGACCCCTGCTCAAGGATGACACACACAAATTGAGAAATGTTTCTCGATAAATTCTATTCACCTTTTCTATTCTCTCTGAAGGTTTGAACTCAAAATCCAAGACATGACATTGAAGCTTGTAGACTGGCTGCATACACAGGCAAGATTAACCTGATAAAAAATTATCAATCGCAAGGATAGTATTGGTACAAGATAATGATTTTAATGTTGTATATTATGTTCCTATGATTGATATTTTGCTTAATCTGATTGAATTTCTGGGGATGTCAGTCCTTATGTAAGATGTTTGGATAAATTTCCTTTGTATCCAGCTTTTGTAGTTGGCTAGTTAGACGAAATAAAAGCCATCTTGGAGTTTGAGTTGTCATGGAATGGGTTCTCAATGCCATTAATTTTTGGCCACTGTATCATTAGCATTATTGAAAATAAATTCTTTAGGTTTAAATAGGTACCAATAAGTTTCTAGAACAGAAAGATGTGTTTTTGTCTGTGATTAAAACGTTAACTTTATCCTCTACATGAGCATGGTTGTTTTCTGAAACTTTCTCACTTTCACGGTGGCTCAGTGTTGGTTCAATTTGTTGGGGCCGATTTGGAGTAAAATAATTGGTATATTGCCGTGGTTTAGCTCATTTTACCTTTTGTTTCATTATGTATACTCTTCAGGAGTCTACTTAAGACGCTACTTAGTTCAGAAAATTTAACTCAAGGACTTGACTATATTTCATACGGATCATAATAGCTTTAGTCAATTATGAGGATGCAGCTTTAACTTATCATATATTAAACTTCTACATGCATAACCTTTTATAAATGTGTTTAGCTTGTCTGTTTCTCCTTAAGGCATGGATCTATTTCTGCCTTTGAGGTAGTTTTCTTTTGTTTCCTTGAAAAATCTTGTTTGCTGACTGTGGTTTGTTGAAATTTTAAACCACTAAGCAGTGATCTTTGGAGGAGGAATCTAAAACTTGAACTTTGTTGATTATGGACTATGAGCAGGTTGATGATTTTGCCTTGCCTTCTCTTTCTTTCTATGTATTGGCAGGCTTACTGTCTAGTGTTTGAGTAACAATAAGTTCACGACAAGTTGTAGTTCTGAACAATTATATCTGGGGTTTCTTTCCTTTGCTCATCACAAGTTTAATAATTCTGGAATTGACTACCTCATTATACTTTGGCTTTGTACTAGCAATGGCACAGGTAACATCTCTATGTTGTTTATTGGATGAGTCTAAGCCACCAAAATTCTTTTGTGGCTTTCTTTTGTCAGCATATTATGTTGAGGAATATACTCTGTCTTTACTGTATAACCGGGACAATAAATTGTAGCTCCAAAGAAATAGAACTGAATTTATGTTCTCACATCAAAGAAGCTCAGATTCCACATATTACAACTTCTCTATGAAGCAATAATAGCATATATGTTCTAGTTCTAATATATATTTATGCTCATGTAATATGGTGACAACTTCACAAGTCATTACATATTTGAAAGTTTATATTCAGTTCTTCACCGTTGTTAATAAACTCACCAATCATGTTCTGGAAGTTGTTGATGGTTAAAGTTTTTAGATGAAATTCATACAGAACTTGAGAAAGTTGATGTAGCTGATCATGGGGCAGTTTAGTGGTCTTGTACGATTCTCTGATTAATTTCCACCAAAAGAAATAGGTTAAGTTGTTTGGTTCCATCTGCTATTTTGCGGAATTGAGTGCACCAATAGAAATCTTATTTATGCATTTCTTTGTCCAGGAATGCTGGTTTTGTATTTCTAACTCTTTTTTCATCTCATTGTTCTAGGGATTGTAGAATGTTACGTCGAGCAGTATATTCGAGATATCTCGTCCTGTATTTGGTTTTTGTCGCGATTAATAAGTTTTTATTTTGCTTGTTGCAGGATCTCAAATGCTTTGTGTTTTCCTTGATTTCTCTGCACTTCAAGATTAAGCCTATTCAGTCATAAAGTTAAATCTCCGCATTTCTGCTTCTCTAGACTTGGATCTATGCTCCATGTCAGACTTGAGTTTTGAGGCACACTGTTGATGAAACCTTATCTAACCAACAACCCTTGATGTGAGACAATTGACCCGTAACACCTTATTGATTCTGTTGGTTGTACTCTTCATATATGTTGTATTTTGAAAAACTTGGTTGTGTGAGTTCATGAAGCTTTTTTCCAATTCGAAACTCTCTCTTATCATTGTTTGTAGGATGCGGTTTTATCAATTCAGATATAAATAAACTATTTTTATTGAATTAAGAATAATAGCATACAAAATTGAGTTTTATATCAACTATAATGTTTTTAAATGAAATTATAATATTTGTCATTTGTATAAAAATATTATAGTCGAGGAACAATGACTCAAATTATAATACAAATTTTAACTATGATTTTAAATATATATTTTTATATCGAGTTGGGAATCAAAACATATAAAAGCCTTCATCTTTATGCTAGTTGATAATATTTCTAAATAAGGTTACAGAGAACTTTAACAAACATATGCTGTAAGTATGTATGAAACTATTATAATTAAATCGATTTAACTTATGGAACCCATTCGATGTGAATGACGAGTGGGTATCTATTTGAAAAAATGTTCAATAGAAGGGGTTTTCTCAATAATTCACCCATAATTTTATTATTCAAAGTCGAAAATTGTTATAAAAAATAATTATATAAGTTTATATATACGTATATGCTAAAATTAAGTTTAGGAGTATATAAATTAAATTATGCCATATTAGATAATTTTGATCAAATATTCATTATTTCCTATTTCACGACATAGTAACGTGGGGAAATCGAGCACGAGACGTGAAACACGTTCGACACAGCCTAGCGAATCTGGATTCCATGAACCGCTCCAACCCGACATGTCGTACCCGAGACACGAGTCTCTTCACGGACCAGGGCTATATGGTAATTTAGAATATCCACTATATGAGATCACCAAGACGCCTTCTCCCCGAGCTCTCAAATCTCATCCAGGCAACCTTCGCCCCAAAAGCGCTTCTCCGCGCCGAGGCACCAATATATCAACAGTGTTCGAGTCGAAGCTCGAATCTGCCATCGACTGTATTCAGGAGGTGGAGGAATCCCTTTGATTTGGCTCCCTTTTTCTTTTATCCACTCAGATTGTGATTAGGTTTCGGTTGTGGTTCAGGGGAAACCCTAGGGTTTTCCCTGTCGGCTTGTCGATCCTCTTCTTTTTCTTGCTTGCTTTCCTTTCTCTTTTCTCTAATTCTTACCTCCTCCTTCCCGCCCTCTGCCCTTTTCATCTGATTGCTTGGTATGAGCTTGAGATTGTGACTCAGCTTGCATTGACCACTTTTGTGACGACTTCTTAGGTTCAGCGTGATTGGATTGTGAACGATGGAGAACGATGTTCCGCTGCAGGTAACCAGCTGATTATTAACTTTGTTTTTGCTATGTATTTTAATTTTGCATCTCCTTCTTCTTTGACGGGTTCTTATGTCATTATAGGCTCAAGTTTTATTTGTGAATCTTGTGAACAGGAATTTTAGATATAACAGTGACAAAGAGCTACATGACAGTGACGGCAAAGCTATTTCGACTTTTGGACGTGATTCGTGTACTTTTTGTACAATAATTGTTCGTTTGGTTCAGTCATGATATGGGTGTCATTATCTCTGACTGTGAGATATTAAAAAGAAAGTGTTTTTTGTTAATTGGTAGTACCACGACATCCTCAAGCATGCCTTGGTGGGTTTCTTGTGACTAATTTGCACTCAGAGAGGTGAGGGATGGAGTTAAACTATATAAAATGGATTTATGACAGTCCAAGAGTATGAATTTTCTATTCCTCGGTTGACTTTTATGAATATCTAAGTATGATCTGCCACATGTGAAATTGGTTGCTGGATAGACGACCTGGTGATGAAATTAAATGATAGTTGTTAAGGGGAGGGCTATTGTTTGGAATTTGCTTTGTATTATAGGTAGATAGGTCCTTCTGCAATGGTGTAAAATATATATCCTTACCAGCCACATAAATCTCTTCCGCAAATCGTGACCCTGACTGTTTATGTTAAAAACAGTGTGTTTTGTTGGTGAATAAGTAGAAATCAAAACTATTGTACTGTGAGATGAGCATGCAAACTTTAAATGTATCCAAAGTTATCAATATGTACTGGAGTAGGATGGAGAAACAGCGCATTCTAGAAAAGGAATGGCACACGTAGAACTAGTTACGAGTTTGACATGCTCATGGAAGAGAACCTTTGTAAGATGTCAGTGCTATTCCTGGAGTAGAATTTGGCCTGATCAGAAAGACTTTATAGCAATTATCATCTTTCGTTAGATATTTGATGTCAGTGATTTCAATAGGCGCTTGGGCGACCCTAGTGTTTTATTTGGTTAAATCGAACCTACTAAAGTACCAATATCAGCCTCCCAGCATCCCTCTCGCGACTTCCCCAACCCTAACCTTGCTCGTAATTTTGCTGTCGACATTTCCTCTCCGTTGTCGTTGCTCTCCGTTGCCACTGCCATTGTCGTTGCTCACCGCTGCCACTGTTGTTGCTCGCCGCTCCCGTTGTTGTTGCTTGCTGCTACCGCTACTGCTGCTCTCAGTCAGCAGCATCGGTCTTACTCTTATGCTGCACTCTCGTTACCGTTGCCGCTGCCACTATCGTTGCTCGCTGTTGTTGTCGCTGCTTGCCAGTGTTGCTGCTTCCCGCTACCACTGCTCGCTGCTCGTCGCTCGTCGCCGCTGTCTTACACTTACTCACATCGACTCGATAGTATACTGTTAACAGTATATTAACAGTATACTAGTAACAGTATTTTTATTTATTTATTAGATTAATAATATATTATTTTAATTTTAATACTGCTATTTTTTATTTATTTGAAATTATTGTTACTGATTTGAATTTTGAGATTTTTTGTTAATGTGATATTGTGATTTTGCAAGATTTTCTTAATTTAATATCATATTTTTATTTAAATAATTATATATATTAATTATATTATATTTTGTATATTTTAGAATCTCGTTTCGCTCGGGCGAGCGCCTAGCGCCTCTGGTGTTTTTTGACCTTGGTGTCTTTTGACGCTTAGAGCTTTTTAAATCACTGATTTGATGATATATGAAAACATATGCTTTTAGTTGAATCAAGTGCTAAATGGTAATTGGGGTTGTATTGATGGGAGCCTTGTGCACTAGCCTACCCCATATTGGTTGGTGGGTTGCATACTCTTTGTTTTCATATGCTAGCATTTAAAGCAATTGGTACTTTCTTGCTTGCTTTTGATTTGTGCTTGAAGCTATTTGATCGGGTAATTTTTAGGAAGTTAAGAAATTTGTTGGTGTCTTTAAAGATAGAGGGAGGTGGTTTCGATCCTGTGCAAATACAGTAAGAAGTATGTCTTTGATCTATTTGGAAGGTCTGTGAGATAACACCTTTTCTACTTTCAAAATGGTGATACTTCTCAATTTCTGTTTAGGATCCAAGCATCTATTCATATAATATGTTGTAAGAATTCATGGACAGATTTTTATCACTGTTTTATGTGGTATAAGTGTGTACTTGGGTTTCATGATTTAACCACTATGCAGAAACCAAGACAGCTTATTTCTTTATTTTTTTTTTGGCATAAATAGCATTGACTATTGTTGGAGCTATTAATTTTTTAAGGAACTTATTCTGGAAAAAAAATGAATGTTTTCTGTTTGTGGAGTATAATCTAATGACGCTTTTCATTGCAATACATTTTAGAGTAATTCCATGAGATTGAGCATTCATTACCTTTAGCACATGATATGCTGACCAATGCCTATTTCTGGTCCAGGAGATCATGTTGGAATTTCGTGCAGGTAAGATGGTCCTCGATGGTACAAGGGTGGTACCAGATACCAGGAAAGGGCTTGTTCGTATAGGAAGGGTATGCCTTGTTCTTGAACCAGTTATTTAAGCAATTTTGTTTGAGATCCAACTATATGAGGTTACACTATATGTTTTCATCCTTATCTTTCCTAAAGTCAATTTGTAATTTTTTGTGAAATTTCATCATTAGAGTGAGGAGGGATTAGTTCACTTCCAGTGGATTGATCGAACCCAGAACGTCGTTGAAGATGTATCCTTCTGAAACACATATTACTGACATTTTAACAGCTACTCAATTGTTGATTACATAATGCACATAATATAATTACATCTCTGGTTTTCTTTTTTTAGTAGCATCTGTTTGACATTTTAGCCGTGTCTTTTCAGTTTCCTTTTTGAACAGGCTATGCTGGGATTCCTCTGGCCTCCTTTGTGTTAATTACTTTTTTTTTTCTTGGTAATGGTTGTTTTTAATGTGCTAGCTGTCTCCTGTTGATCCTATCCTTTCGTGATTGACTAGAATTTGCATAGGTGTTATCTAGCTTTCTGTTTGGTTAGCTGCTGGCTTTTATCATCTCTTCATGTTCCACTTTCTAAAGAACTTTTTGAGCATTGCTGTCATAGATTTTCTTGACCAGATAACAGGATCAGATCATCTTCCCAGATGAAGCTGTTTTTGAGAAGGTTCTTATTTCATGCCACCTAGTAATGCCTTTTGGCTTTATTTTTGCGGGACCTAAATGATTCCCCTGGGTATCAATGTCTTTCAGGTGTCTCAATCCTCTGAAAGGGTGTATATTTTGAAGTTTAGACATGATAATAGGAAGAGCTTCTTTTGGATGCAGGTTAGCTGACTTGAATACTGTGAGCATTTGAGAATTTCTTTTATCATTTACATCAAGCCTTTGGATTTTCATCCAAGGTTTCAAGTACTAGTCTGATACTGGTTTTGGCAACTGGTTTGTACCTGTACAGCGGGTGATATCGACCTGTACTCACCGCTATTACTAAAAAAATTAAAGAAAATAAATACCAATTAGTACCGGCCTACACGAAACCTTGTTCTGAACTATTTTGTACCAATGAATCGTAGGAGCCAAGAGCTGATGAGGACTCACAAATATTCACCTCCGTCAATTGCTACATTAACCAACCTTTAGGTATGTCAAAATCCTTGAGGCACACGTTTGTGATGTTTTGTTTTTCTGATTTATTGTTTTCTAAAGTATGACTCTTTATCAGATCTAATGGGAGAAGATGAGGCTGAAGCTTCAGTTCCACCTCAAATGTCTGACATGTCTGACAATACAGTGGAGGATGATTTTTCATCCAGGTGTGCATACATTTAGTATCATTCTGATGCATAATTATGTAGTCAACTACTTTTAACATACTTTGTCTGTAGAAAAATTTAATATTATTTTTTTGTGTAAAACAATTTTCTTTCATAGTAACTTCTGTGATTACTGTTACTATTTAATGTGAGCTAGAAAATCATTATTATTTTATGTTGACGGGATAGCAGCAAATAGGACAAATTGGGGTTCAAAGTAATTTAATAACTAAAAGTAGATGCTTCCAACACAAATTAGTACCTAACAAATTTTGAAATATCTGATTACAGGAGTAGGGGATAAACCTCAATTCTATATATAGCATAGTAAAAAGCAGTTGAAATCAAAGTTCTAGATTTTGGGCCCATCCACTTGGTATCATTCTGCAAAACTGGTTCCTATTTGTTTGTTTGTTTCTTTTCTTGTAGGAATTATTGCATGTAAACTCTAATTGCGGTTGGACATTCTGCAAATTTTTACATCATATGTGCCCCTAAAAACATTGAACACCGCTGACAAGGTACATCTGGGTATTTTCTATGTTATGTGCTTAGATGTTTTTCTATCAATTTTGCAATAGTAATATGAAACTAATTTTTTTAATATATATATATATATATATATATATATATGTATATATGTATGTATATATGTATATATACATACATATATATACATGTGTGTATATGTACATTTTATGCGATTACTCCTTTAGTTTCAAAAAGCATTTTATGTTTCCATGAGAAAGAACTGTGGTATTAAGGGTAGTCCATATAAGGCAATCATCGCCTTTGGCATGATCGTTGACTAGCCGAGATACTAATTGATTACCATCTTTAATCTTGCCACGCCGAATGGATTTTTTAATTGCTCACGCATAAGTGGAGCATTGTAAAATTGTTATTTGTTGATGGCTTGATAGCTTTCTTTCGAAGACTCCTTTGGGATCTTTTCATGTGTAAGTGAGATCCTTTCAATTAATTCACTGTCAATTGCCTTACAATTTCAAACTTATCATGTCCTGATAATTCAAGTAATTTATTTGTTTTAATTAATTATTGGCACTATAAACTTTTTTTTCCTTCGTCTTTGGCTAGCTGGCGTAGTAACTGCGGTAGACTTGTGAAAATTTGTCTCTTCATTTTTTCACAACTGTCTCCTTTATGGCTCAACGAGCTTCTCAATTGGTTGAACAGAAGTAAAGGTTGACCTTCTTTCTTGTTGTATTGCTGGGCAATGGTTGGTGTATAAAAACTGAAAGTTATATCCAAATCACCAATCAGAACAGAGATGGTTACACATAGATGATTGTTAGGAATGTAGTGGTTGATAAGTCACTGTTTCCTTCTTTGGAACTTGATAATATATAATTTAGTTCTTGGATAAACTGATCAGTTGTCTCTTCCTGTAATTCACTTTTGCACAGGGATGAAAATAGAGAATTCGAGGTTCTGATGAAGTCATAACACAGAACTGAGGCATGAAACATGAGGCCATATAAGTTAGTTAATAGAGGTCTATTCAACTACCATAACAATACATTAGTGAATATGGAGGAGGATGCAATTACCTTTTCCCACCTTATCTGGCTGTTAGACAATTCTAGCAATTTGCAATGGAGTAGACCCATAATATGATTTTGCACATTTGTTGAACCACTTGGCATACCTGTGGTAGGTCTTAATTTATAGTTCTCCGCATTATGATGCATTTAAAGATAGGAATCTTGGGGATCTTATCCTTCTATTATAGATAACATTTAATTTATATGCTTATGGTTTTTGATAATTTTGGTTGGTTATAATGCTGATTGGAGAAAGAGCAAGTGATTTAAGGTACTTATACAACTTACTGTAGGACCTTGGGCATTTCCCTTGAGCTGTTTGTTGGCATGAGTTGTGATGGTAGAGAGAAGGGAAAGGTCAACCTTTGCATGAGCTCAAACTGAAATGTAATGTCAGAGGTAAAATAGACAGGGGGAGGTCATAACAGATTGAGGGAACGTTTAAGTCCAAATCTCATACATGATGGAATTCATGTTCATTAAGTTGGAAATAACATGTGATCATCTGTAGGGTAGTTGACTAACAAGTCTTACCAACATGTGGGATTTGGTAAAGAAATTCTGTTTATGTGCCTGTCTTGTCACTTGCGTATTCCATTGGATGCCGTGTATTTTGTTGTTCTGCTGCTCATACTGCTGTTTAGTAAGTGAATGTGTATTTGTTTGGATCATATTATATTGGAATTCTCAAACCAAGTCCATTTGGAATCATGCTTAATTAGCATAAAATAAATACTTCACTTATTATATTTGCTTGTACTTAATATCTTCATAAACTCATTCCCTTATTTTAAAATATGTTCATGATCTAACTTATTTGACAATAAAAAGAATTTTCACTCCAGTGGAGTAGAGGTAAAAGTTGACCCACTTGTTTTAGTTTCTCCTTGAGATAGAATGTAACTCTTCCAAAAGACCTTTTTTCCCTTCAGTATATCCTACAAATATATCCCAGTGTTTAAGTTTTAGTATTTTGATTCTTAATATTCAAACAATTTTAAGCAAATTAGCGCAAGGAAAAAAATAACAATGCACATTAATTTATTTAAGTTTTCATTATTCTGAAACATGTTTGATTGAAGAAGCAAGTTTTGCTCTCTAAATTGTACTAAGTGGAGCTTTTTTTTTTTTTTTGAATTTCTCACTTAAAAAGTCATTCATAACTTTACACAACCAGAGGCCAATTAGTTGCGCTAGCATCTACACATTCTTTACAATCTGTTCTTATCATGTCTTCTAGTAGTTCCAACTTTTCTATTTAAGCCTCTTTCTGGGTCATTGATGTTTTTCTTTTATCATGTATGTTTAGAGCTGGAAACCTGGTTGATCAAAACATAGCTGGTGAATTAGGTGGAGAAGTAACCTCCTCTGCCAGACCTGTGCAGTTGGCAGACCTGCAGAGGATTTTAAGAAGCATTCAGCCAGCAGGTATCATTAAGTGTTTAAGTTCTAGTTGAGGAATCTTAATGGGGACCAGACCCTTTAGCTTTTCTGCCTTGTTATTATAACTTATTGTCCTTTGTTTGTGTTCTAGATGCTATTGAAGATCCTGATGCAGGTAAATTTTAAACATGGTTCAATGTTTATTTTGTACAGTTACTTTCTGTAATGCTGCTAAAATCATGAATTTTAGGGTTGGGATTGGGTGACATTTTAAAGCCTGATTTGGTCTTGCCTCTAATAGAAACATTGCCAATTGAACAACAGTTGGCACAATACTTGCCTGAGGTACATGCTAATAACTACAATATGTAAAAGTAGTGCTTTCTTGCCTGTTGCACTCCATGATACTTTTATTATTATTAGGGTTCCTGGAGTCCTGCTGATCTCATGGAACTGTTGCAGAGTCCACAATTCCGTCAACAAGTAGACACATTTACCCATGTAAGAAATTGTCTCCATTTGGAAAATATGACTTTTGCCTAGTTTCCAAAAACGTTGCACTTTTGAATGTCAAACAGGTGCTTCGAACAGGACAGATAGATCTGTCGCAGTTTGGAATCAACCCGAGTAAATGTAAGTTTCTTTGTTCAACTTGATGACCATTCTTCTGCTTGGAGATTATGTTCCCTGTTGCCTTTATCGATCAAGCTCTTGTGTGCCTCACTTGTTGGAAATGTTAATTCTTTTGTTCTTGTGCATAAATCAAGTGTCTTTTAGATTTTCTGTTCTTACTAAATTTATGGTAATAGAAATTTGCACACTGAAAATATACTTCAACATGGTTATGAAACATCACTGCATGTTGCTGCAAGTATATAGTTGCGCTGGTGCATTATTGTTTGCTGCGAAACCTTCTGTTCTGAAGTGACCAAGCTAATCAGCAACCTTTCAGCACATACAATAGTCTTGATGATGAGAAAATAAAACCATGAAGTGCACTCAGCATCTGCACCTTGAACTTGTAACCCGAATAGCTAAAATCATGTTGGTAGTCCATTTAGATAAGATTTCTATTATGATTTGCTTTGTTTTTGTTGTTGTTGCGATGCTTGAAGTGATAGCTGAAGTTAAAAGGTTTTGCAGACAAATTCACCGTCCTGTCTTTCCTCGAGGCTCTCGAAGACTCGGTGGCAAAATCATCGGAGGCTGCAGGGTCCAACTCGGCGCAAGATGAGAGCAAGGATTCCCAGTCGCAAAGGTGTGGTAGAGGTGACGCCATGGACGAAAGCTGACAGCACCAGTTGCTGGTGATGGGCAACATGTTTCTTATGTTTAGCTAGAATCTGGGCAATTTTGCTTTGTTTAAGTGGGAAATGCATGTGAAAATTGGATGGTTCATGATGATTGTAACATTTTTCTTTAAAAAAAACATTGATTAAGTTGCATTCAACAATAAACTGTCATTTATAAAGCATTTTATATTATGCATGCCTATGAGCTTGTAAATATTGATCCTTGTGCAGTTGTCCAAAGTAAGAAGCGAATGGAGATGGAAGTAAGCTGCAGCTTACACAAAAACAACATCCGACGTAGGCGATCTCGTAAGCCTCACAAATTACAGGATGGCAATATCCATAGACGCCCAACTGTTTCGAGTATTTTTCGTCCACAGCAAACAAATTAAAATTGGTTTGACCATTGAAAGAGTTTTGTCAAATATGCTTCTAATGAAGTCTTGAAATTGAAATGTGACCTTTGTGCCATTTGACAGAAGATACGAGTGCTTTATATATTACAATATCAATCTTATATGTACATTAAAATTTATGTTGAACTCTCTGTCCACACGATAAAACTAGATTAATTTGACTGCATATCGGATGCGTCATGAGCATCTCTACCTCACGAGAACATCTCGACAAAAGGATGCCTCACCAGATTGGGCTTTCACAATATTATAGGCAAAACGAATAAACCTCACAAGAACATCTCGACGAAGAGATTCCTCACCGGATTGGGCATGAATGCTCGATCTCACCAGATTGGGCATAGAAAGTGCGACCTCACCGGATCAAGCAAAAAATATTTACCTTCAATTACCAAAAAAAGAAAAGAAAAAAAAGAAAAGGCTAAAACCCAAACCAACTTGATGCAATTTACCGATCCAAATCAATCAGTGCACAAATTAAAGGAAAAATTAAAAATAACCAGCCTAGATTTAAGGAACAGGATTTTTTTTTCTTTAAAAAGTTAAAACTTTCCTACCAGAAGTCACTTTTACGATATCAATCATACTAATAATAAAAACAATAATAAAATTATAAGTCTCGATTATTTCATATTAACTATATGAGTTTTTTTTTATGTCATTAAATATTTTTTTAAATAAAAATAAATTGATTAAGTGTGAAGTTTGTACAAATAACTTTTTTTATGACTAAAGCTTGATATCTCATTTAGTCTAGAATAGTGGACCCCGCCCCAAAGATGGAATGGTCTCACTCCACAAATTCATCTCCAAGAGTAATCAAACAAAGAGGTAGTCATGACTACACATGTCGTAGACTATGACTCCTAACTGTAGCCAATAAATAAAGTATAGTCATGACTACACATGCTGTAGACTATGACTCCTAACTATAGCCAACAAATAAAATATAATATCCAGATATATCAAGACTGCTTGTGGGTATAATACATTATTAAAGCAGATAACTACGGGATACATACAATTCTTCAACATCATTCCCAAGATCTTTAACTAATAGCAAAATTGAATATGATAAAAATATTTTTTTATCTTCGTGTAAAGTGCTCCATTTTGAGATCGTGCTTCATACATGATCTTGAGTCTCTAATAATCTCTGTCAAAAACTGAGCATTGTTTGTGTGTCGATGCTCAAAGATTTTATTACATCTCTCCTTCCACATCCACTAAATAGCGCATTTGAAAGTAACATTTACCAATTGTGTAAGACGCTCTTTTCTTAAGAAACATTATATGAGTTCACCTAATTCCTGATGTAAGTTTGGCTACGGTAGCCTATTGAGTTCAAATCGTCGAAGAATCTTCTTCCATATCCATTTAATATAGTCACAAGCAAAATAGAGGTGGTCAACAGTTTCTTCCCCTTGCACACAAAGGGAGCATCGATTAACAAGATAAATACCTCTTCTCTTCGTATTGTCTATTGTAGGTAGTTTGTCAAGAAGGGCCTGCCATGTGCATAAGGAATGTCTTTGTGATCCCGATCGATCCCATGTCCAACTGCTTGGGATCCACTTATTGTTCCTTTGCTTGATCTGATTCTATGCTGATATAGCACTAAATTTATCATTATCATGAGACCAAATAAGCATATCAGAAGAGTTGTTCCTGATTAGAATAGCTGTGATAGTCGGCCAAAGTGATAACATTTCAGGAGAAATAGGATTAGGGAAACACCATGTACCGTTAGTAATGAACTCAGAAACCTTCCAATCTTTGGGAGCCCTAAGATCTTTTCATATTTTGTTACCATATAATTGAAATATATTCTTCCCATTTACCTAAGGATCGTACCGCATATTAGTACCGGTTCCGGAAGAGATTGTATAGGAAATGTGTTTGATTAGCCAATTCTTTGCCTTCAAAATTCCTTTTTAAGCTGTAGAGTGATACGTTTTTGATAAAACTTTCCAAATTGATTCCTTAGAAAATACCTAGTAGAAACCCATTGTAACTATAAGGAACATTTGTTTTACAAAATATCCCACAATTTCTGTACCAAACATGCTTTATTCCATAATTTCTCAAGTTTAACTCCCCTTTATTTTTCGGTTTACAGATGTTGTCCCAATTTACTATATGCATTGTCTTACCATTTATGTCATTCTAGAAGAAGTTCATAAATAACCTTTTAATATCTTGGAGAAGTCCAACAGACAGAAGAAATGTATTAGACCAATAAATAGAGTAAGAGTACAATATCGAATGGATGAGTTCAAGTGGTTTTCCTTTTGAAAGAAGCATATTTTTCTAAGAGGAAATTATATTCTTTATTTTTTATAGGATAGGCTGACAGTGGATTTTGTGAATGCCAGAACTGGCAAACTTCCCTCACTAACCCCTAGAGTGTGTGTAATAAAATCTTTATCCTCAATGCAAGGACCCATATAGACTTTATTTTTTGCATGATTTAACTGAAGGCTAGAAACTATACCAAAGTCATTCAGAATAGTAGTCAGGTTCCTCACTGAAGTTGAATCATTATGAAGAAAGATAAGAATATCATCTACAAAAGTTATGTGTGATATATGAATAGAACCAGCATGAGGTACCTTAATGCTGCCATCGGTGACTGCTTGTTCTAACATATAGCTGAGTCCTTCCATTGCAATAGTAAAGAGATATGGAGAGAGTGGATCGCCTTGTCGGATGTCATTCATGCTCCCAAAAAAGCCAATAGGCGAGCCATTGAAGAGTATCGAAAACTTTGGAGTTTCCAAGCAACATTGAATCTAATTAACCCATTGCTGAGAGAAGTTCATACCGAGGAGTATCTTATAGATAAAGTTCTTATTAACTGAATTAAAGGCTTTTCATAAATCAGCTTTAAAACATATTTTCGTCCCTCTTGCTTTCAAGTGTAGATCCTTGACCAAAGTCATTAGCAAGAAGGATATCATGATGTATACCTCTTTCTTTGATGAAAGTAGCCTAATTAGGACTAATGATCTTGTGTATTACCCTTTGCATTCTATCTATCAACACTTTGGAGATGATCTTGTAAATAAAGTTACATAATGATATGAGTCGATCGTTCTTTAGTGAATCAACCCCTACATTCTTGGGAATTAAAAAAATAAAAGTGCAATTCATCTCTCTAAGAATATGACCTAAAGAGAAAAAATGTTGGTAAGCTTTAATCACATCATTACCAATAATAGACCATGCAATTTGGTAAAATTCAGTTGGAAATCCGTCCGGACTAGGACTTTTGTGCTTCGGTGACTTAAAGACAACTATTATAATTTCATCATATGTAATTGGGGCATTGAGGATTGAAATGACACCCGAATCAAACTTTCTAGTTGGCTCCACATGAATGTTATTAGGTTGCACCGCTTGATTGAGTAAGGAATAAAAAAATTGCTCAATGTGTGCTTAACCTCATTTAAATTCTCAATAAGATTATCATATTTGTCTCTGTATTTTCTGATGTAGTTAATGACCCTTCGAGTAGCAACGAAAACATAGAAAAACTTAGTATTGAAATTCCCTAGAGTAAGCCAATACTGTTGAGACTTCTGCTTTACAAAACTTTTCTCCTACTTTAAGGTTTGCATGAAGTTATTTCTGGCTTCTGTCTTTTTGTAAATAAGATTCTCATCATGGGGCTGAAGTTGCAGCTCATGTTGCATTGTCATTAGTTCCTTTCTACAAAATTGAACCCAGGTGGTAATATTGCCAAAGGCGTTTGTATTCTACTCCTTAAGTGCTGCTTTACAGGTTTTGAGCTTTTGACATAAGATGTAAGGGGGGGAACCATGCACATTAAGATTCCAAGCTGATCTGATAACATCAAGGAACTGAGGATGAGTACTCCACATGCTAAATAATCTAAAAGGTTTCTTACCACTGGGTGTTGCTTTGTTTGTGTGTATATATATTAAAGAATAATAAAAAAATAATGGAGCATCATACTCAAAGAAGTGAATCAAGGTAAACTATTAACCATTCTTGATTAATCAGATACCTGTCGAGTTGAGCTATTATTTTTCTGTTAGCAACACCTTTATTAATCCAGGAAAGTCAATTGCCCATAGATTTCATATCAATCAATGTAGTAGTATTTATTTAATTATTAAAACTTTAAATTTGGCTTTCTGAAAGCTGCCTACCTCTCACTTTTTTATTTGTGTACCGAACAAAATTAAAGTTACCAAAAACAATCTAAAGTACTTTAAGATAGCCATTTGCAATGTTAGTCAGATCAGTCCATAGAATATTTCTTTCTTGCATACTGTTTAAAGTATATATACTAGTAAAATTGAATTGACAACCATTCTTTTGGTCCTCCACCTTAAGATGGATGAATTGATTAGTAGCAGAAATAAACTAAGTATTAATAGAGTTAGGATATCATAAGACCCATATTTTACTAAAAGTTTCACGAAAGTCATTGGTAAATAGTTCTACGTCCGGCCATATTAAATTCTTTTGAGCATGAACGTGCGATTGTTTAATTTTAGTTTCCACAAGAATAACAATATCATATGCGGCAGACTTGATTATTCTATTGAGCTCCCGATATTTTTCAAGCTTATTAAGTCCACGAACATGTTATCTTCATCAGAAATAAAACAAATGAAAAATGAAGTAAGCTATTCAACCTACAACTTTGGATAGACAATATCATCCTTTTTCTTATCCTTAGATTTTGTACTTTCCTCGCGCACAATATCCTTACCTTTGAAGGCTTTATTCCTATATTTATCCACTTCATCCATAGTGTGTAAATGTTTAAACTTTAATATACCTTGAGTCAAGTAGTCTTGGTTGGCAGGGTTTGTTGAAGCGCGATAGGATTGTTGAGGCAGAATATAGGACAAGATGAAGTTCCTGACTTCCGCTTCTCCTGTTCACGAGTACCATGGGAAACTTTTGTTGTGGAAGGCTCCGACATAATAGGAAAATATAAAGTTCCTGATTTGTCCTTCTATCTGTGGTGGTGTCCCTACAAGTCGGAATGCTCATTCGTCTTCACCACCACCGATGCTACTGCCACAAGAGGAGACTCGCTTCGTTGCTGAGACATCTGATGTGGCTAGTAGACCTTAGTGATCGGTTTCAGAGTTTGTTGACAAGCTCCATTTGCATGGCTAAAAGATAAGCAACTCTGACATCGTTGTGGCTTCTAGGAATATAAGACATGTACCTTATAGGTGTTCCCATCAAGATCATGATAAAAGACCTCATTAGGAAGATCTTTGTTGGAAGAAACTAATACACATGCTCGAGCAAATACTAATCTCATCTGTGTAGCTGTTGCTTTATCAATGTAGAGTGGTTGTCCTAGAGTGCTGCATAACTTTGTAATAAATCGTCGACTCTAAAGATGTAGAGGAATGACCTTGAAATGATACCCATAAGGGAATAGATTATAGCCTGTCTAACTCCAAATGGATATCAGGAGACTAGTGTCGTAGAATCATTGGATGGCCGCGAATAGCCCAGAACCCTTCAAGGACCTATTGCAAATCTTCTTCAGAGTATAGCTTGCAAACAAAGAAACCATTCTCCAGCATATGAAGATCAAATACCGATGTTCCCCATCTAGTTTTGATAATAAGGATAGTGGGAAATAGGATGTTTTGAGACATACCACATAGCCAACAATCATCATAGACCATGTCTTAATCAGCTTTGCGGAATCAGCAATCTCATACACAATAATCTTCTTATTAGCCTGAACTTCTAGAGCAAAGAAATCTAAATTGAGATCCGGACTTTCAACCGGAGCCTTGAAGAGGCTTGTCCAAGGCCGAGGGTCACTGGAAATGAGAGCAAGAGGTCGCGATCTAGAGCGCGACTTGCTTCGATGCTGCTTCGTTGAAGAAGCATCTCGCCAGAAAGAAGATAGCAGAGGAGCAACTTAAGAGGTAAGGGCAGGGAGCCTTGCCATCGAATCTACCTTCCCGCCACCATTGCCAACCCTGGGGACCATCGTTGTTGTGTCCCTGCAACGTTGGGAGCAACCGATCTATCACTGGAAGGGAGACGATAGACTTGCCTGCAGTCGCCGCCTCTTCCCTCACCTTGCCACCGCACCTAGGGAGAAGCAGTTGCTACAAGAGATGACTGTCACTCGCCCTAGGGGTAAGTAGTCGCTATAGGATTCTGATACCTCCTCTAGTCGCCTAGAACTGCACATCAACGATCTCCCTCCGGATCTAAGGAGAAGCAATCACCACCAGCTTAGGGAGAAATAGCCGCCGTCAACCTAGGAAGAAGTAGCACCGCCTCCTCCCTCTCCCTAAGGAAATGCAACCGTAGTCACTTGCCCTAGGGAGAAGGAGCCGCTACAGGAGTCTGATCTCTCCTCTGGTCATCCCTATAGTATCGTCACCCTTGGGAGAAGGAGCTGCTACAAGAGTTTGATCCCTCCTTTGGTCGTCGCTATAGTACCATCGCCCTAGGTAGAAGCAGCCGCTACAAGAGTCTGATCCCTCCTCTTATCACCGCTATAGTACCATCACCACTATAGTATTGTCGCCCTTAGAAATACGTTTATGTCATTAAATATTGAAATCAATTAAGATCTATATTCATGAGATCTAATATAATTTTACCTTGATTATCAATGACATTATCCTTTATCTTTTTCATCTTGATTTGAGATCTATATTAGTAATATTAGTGTCCATATTAATCGCTAAGCTTTAACAAACTATGATCGAGTAGAATCACTCTACCCAACCCAAGGCCAAACTTCGCCTTATCTTACTTGAGTTATACTATACCCAACTTGATTAGAATATATTTTGATTGACTTAGTCTAACTTGATCCCAATTAAGCTTAGCTTGACAAGACTAGATGTGCAAAATCGATCAACCTTCAACCTGAGTGACCTTGACCAACCTTAGGTCATGATATTGTGCATGACCAGTTTGTAAGTTATTTTTTGAAAGAAGTATTATATGTGCCTCCTCAACATTTCAAATCTTTTATCTAAGTACCACTTATCCACTTATAATAAAATTGAATTAGCAAATTTGTAAAAGATACACTCGCACTTAAAAGCATGACTTGACTAACACCATCTTCCAAAATTCTTTTTAGTGCAATATGATATATCCGCTCATCACCAAAAAAAAAAAAATCAAAATACCTAATATAATTAAAATATTCCTTCTGAATATGATATATCCATCATCAGCTAAACAATTCTTAAAGCCCATGAGATGATCACATTATCTTTGTTTTTTTGCATAAGGTACATCTACCTCGGATGATAAGTATTTAAAGTACCATACTAAATTAGATTATCCTCTTTATATATAATATATCCTCCTATAACAAAAAAAAATTCCTTCGCCTGTGATAGTACTCTTTACATGTCATATTTTCACGAGAAATAAAAAACCTCTAAAATATCAGATGCAATCAAATCATCGTCTTTATACCTAATGTGTTTAGTTAAGGAATATATAAAGCATTTGACATAATCAAAGCATTCTTTTTTATGATTATTTGAATTTCTTTATTTTTTTAGATTTGATGATATAAAAAATAATTTAGATCAATTTAGTCATATTGATGTAATTTAAATTTACTATAATCAAACATCAACGACGGATTTGAATCATAATTTATTAAAAAAGTATGAAATGGACTCCCTAAACTAAAAATGTTCTTTTTTCCTTGCTCTATCTATATAGTAGCCAATTAGTAGTGGATCTCAAATTGACACCGACCCTCTTCAAACCGGACTCGGACTCGGACTCAATGTGGTTCTGATCGAAATCTGATCGAACACCTCCGGGACTAGTTTGGCCCGATCGCAACCGTGACTTCTTCAGCCGTTCATCATCCTTGATGGCCGCCCGACCGTCGAGATCTGTCCTCAAAGCGCGAGAAATATCTCCCACTCGTCGACTATCCACCCGTAATGATCTCATGATAGAATGCAATAGGTTGAGTAGGACCCACAAAACTACCCAACGGGGTCATGTTTCGGGTTCGCATACCGATGTAGAGAAAGTATCGCCGAAGCGATATTTTCCATATTTAAGGGACGAATTATTAGCAGAAAGCGGTAAGGAAAAGGCATCTTCGAATCAGGGTTTGTAATCGAGGCGATTTCTTCGTGTTCCTTCTGCTGTCCTGCTTCCCGAGGTTGGCCCTCTCTGCAGGTCTCACCGACCATTGTGTTCTTTATGCTTGCATGTGTTCTTTGGGCGCTACATGTTGAATTGACGCTCGGAGAGGCTTGTTCGTCTCCAGATTTGCTTTTTCTGGCTCGATCTGGGAACGATGAGGCCCGTGTTCTGTGGGAATCTCGACCACGATGCTCGCCAGTCGGAACTGGATCGGCTGTTCTCCAAGTATGGAAGGGTGGATCGCATAGACATGAAGTCAGGTAAAGCTTGCACATACTTTTCGTTTACTTTTAAGAGGGCTTTTTATCACAGCAGCTTACTAGATGATTAAGTTAGGGCTTTGGGTTGATATGTGGTTGCACAACGTGGGTGTGTTATTTGCGGTTCATTTATGAGCAACATCGTACTTTGCCTAGATGTTTTTGTTTCTTTTTTGCATGATGTAATAATTCTTCTTGCTCTCCTTTCTTGGGGGTTATATGTTTCCAGTAAATAGCGAGTTGTTGTAACCTAATAGCATGGAAGGTTATTGCAAAATCAGTAGAAGAACAGGTTAAAAGCGAACAGTTGGGATCGTGGTGCGTATTCTAGAGAACGGAATTTCAAGTTGTCCGTGTAATGTCCTTGTGAAAGTTGGGAAGTCTTTTTTCCTGGGAAATAGTTATCATTTTGCTATCATATACACGCAAGTTTGGATATGTGCTGATGAAGACCCAAATCTTATTGTTTAATTTATTGCTTATGACATACATGATTTAGATGCATCTGAGCCTTTCCCGCTCTGAAAGTTGAGATTTAAGTTTATGGCTTTGATTTCATGTGACCTTTTTCTGGTATTCATTAAGTTAGATTTTATGATGTGCCATTATGAAAGTTTAAAGTTCTGTTCTTTGCAGTGTTGTTAAACAAGTAGGAAAATCACATGGTAATACTGTTTTAGTCATGGAACTTGTATGTTTTTTGGTATCCTGCGGAATTGATGTCACTTGAATTCTTGTTTGACTTGGCAATTAATCACTTTTTTTAAAGTAATCGCATAACTTTTACATAAATATTGTGACACGGAGTCCCTTTTGAATATGGGAAACAATTATTGTTTCTGCAATCTCTAATTAGATTGTCATTTCTTGTATCAAGCAAATAGCTGGAAATGCTCCTTTTCTTTCTTACGTATGCATTTAAAAAATATGAAGTATTAGTTCACCAATAATCCTATTTTAACATCAAATTCTGAAGAGATTAGCTTTTTTTTTTGTGGTGTAGCACAGTTTTGTGGTTGGTCCTGACAAGACCAGGCCTGCAATTTTTGTACAAGAAAGTCCGTATTTAAAAGTTTGCTTTGACGCAGGAACTACTAAGGGAAGCTGAGCTCTTCGTGGGCTCTCCTACCTCATTGAAACCCTTCCATGATGAACGAAACCTTCCTGCCAGAATCCAGAGATTCATGAGCTTCTTACATTCACTATGGAATTCTTCATTTTCTTCACAAAATATCAGTTTCTCTGACATGCACCACCTAAGTTGCTATTGCCCAATTATGAATATTGAGGACTTGTGTCATCATGCCATGCCTACCGACTGTATACCATGCCTTGCCTTCCATGAACTGCACGCTTGCTCTGTTTATGGTGAAACATGTTCAGCAATGTCTTCTAACATTGGATTTAACGTATACGACATCATGTTTTAGTTGCCATTATAGAAGAGCTCCCTTTTCACATTCTATTTGTTCATCAGGCCTACAGATAAATGCAGGTGTAGTATATTTCTGTTTTTATTATGAACAAAGAACCTAATTACTTCATGGCAAGAGCAAAATGGAAATAATTCGGAGCTCTGTTTATGCTTCTCGTGTTCTTATTTTAGTTCATGTTGCAGGATATGCTTTTGTTTATTTTGAGGATGAGCGTGATGCTGGAGATGCCATACGGGGTCTTGATGGTATACCTTTTGGTTATAGCAGACGCAGGCTTTCAGTGGAGTGGTCAAGGGTATTGTTTTGTTTGATAGCCTTTATTGGAAAATGCATGTGTAGATGCTTTATTTTTTATAAAGTTGATTGTTTCATTCACTGTTTGATTCATTGCTGCTTTTTTCTTTGTCTGCTTATCTATATCTTGATTTAATTGTTTGTCTTATGTGTATTATTTCAGCAAGGAGATCGTGGACCGAGATATCACGATGGTTCTAGGTCAACGGGAAACACGAGGCCCACCAAAACTTTGTTTGTTATAAATTTTGACCCCATTCGCACAAGAGTGCGGGACATTGAAAGTCATTTTGAACCATATGGAAATATTACAAATGTCCGGATCAGAAGGAACTTTGCATTTGTCCAGTTTGAGACCCAGGAGGAAGCCACAACAGCTCTTGAAAGCACCAATATGAGGTTGTTCTTGCTGTCAAGCTATCTTCTTATAACCTCTTTCAATTTTAATTTCTTACACTAGCGGAATGAGGATTTGATGGTCATGATTTTGGTTTTAGTAGCATATATTTATCTTAATATAAGGCTTAAACTATCAGCTTTGTAGAATTTGCATAGTTATTTTGGTTAGTTACACACATGTTATCGTTACAGTGATGGTTTTGAGACCATATGTTGTGATGTTTCCAGTTGATTTTCCATTTCTTTTCTCGTTTTGGTATACCTTGCATATCTAAGCTGCTCTCTTGCTTGTGCTGAGACCTGTATAATGATAATTCTATTCTTCTAAGAACTTGGAACATACCATGATAACATTATGGCCTATGAACTCATCAGTGCTCAAAATGTGTCCTTTTCACTTATTTTGAACATGACATGGAACTGCATGAAGTATATCATATTAGATCCTTTATATCTTAATGTAATCCTTTCTCCTTGATTTTTCCTGATTTTTAAACTTAATTTTTTTTTTATTCCTGATTTTGATTTCTTTTTTTTATTGAGTTTATTTTTAGTTTCCTCCAATTGTCAAAGTGATCCTCTTTCTTAATCATTTTCTTTTTTTTCCTCAATTTGTGGAGCTCTTCTATTGCAAATGTGCATACCTGCATGGAGAAGATCAAATTGTTGAATAATATTAATGATAGTGTTTCAAGGTTCACTTATCGAAAAAAAGTGTTTCAAGGTTCATTTTGATGGTTAAAAAATGTGATTATTCTCTATATTTGCCTGGCGTTTTGCTTTATTAATGCAATCGCTATTCGTTGCTGAATTCATGTTTTAATTGTGTAGAGATCATGTGATCATACTGTTGGTATGCATAGGCTATTTGAATTTTCTTTCTCTTATTTTGGCTGTTTGATTTAACTCTGAGTGTACTTAGAGATCATATGATGGTACTGTGAGTATGCATATGCTATAAATCATGTGATTTAACTGTTTCAAGGAACATTTTTTTATTTTGGCTATTTGATTTTGCAGCAAGATATTAGATAGGGTGGTGTCAGTTGAGTATGCCTTTCGGGATGATGACGATCGTGATGAGATGCGTGGCAGCCCTAGAAGAGGTGGTCATGGGAGACGGGATGATAGCCCTTGTGGGCGTTCTGGCAGCCCAGGCTACAGCAGAGGCAGCCCTAGTCCTGATTATGGCCGTGCAAGGAGTCCTGTTTACACTCGAGACAATGGTTTCACTTATGATAGGAGCCGAAGGCCTGATTATGGTCGTCATCGAAGGTGAGGAAAACATGCATGTTTGACTATTACAGAAAAAATCTTTTATATATGCATTTGGCCAGTTAAGCAATGGGACTAGGGGGTGTAGGCTTAGTTAGACGCACCTCATTTCAGTTAGCCAGCTATGGTGTGCATGAATAGGGTTTGTTTCTTTATTGGATTGAGGTGAAAGACAATCAAATGCACGAATTCTGGTGCAGCATTTGAATACCTGTTACCAGTATGTGGTCTTAGGTCAAGGGACTGGTTTATTTTAAGTTGATAATTATGTTTCACTGACAAAATGCTGTTTGACGAAGTTATTTTGTTTTCCAGTATGTTCAGCTCGTTCATCGTCCAGATTTTTTTATACATTTGCTTTGTTACTGAACCTGTGTTGTCTTTCTTGTCGACAGTCGATCACCTGCTCGAAGGTCCTGAACCCAAGGCTTTGCTTCTTGTATGGCAAATACCATTACATGTTCATATTTAGATGGTGATTTCCTGTTCTTAGATCTTTTGCTCTAGAATATTACTTCTTTCGGAAGAACTGTTTTATGATATGTAACACAGGCTATTTTATGATATGTAGATTTACATAAAAGTGGCTATGCCTATTACATGTTACGTGAACTTAAATTAGTTACATTATATTTCAGCTAGTAACTCGTATGGTTCTTTCGATGTTGCCGTAGATGGCTCATTTATTAGTTATGTGTGCTGTGCTGTTTTTGTTAGAGGGTGGTCAGAGGGATATACAAAGATTGATTCATTGCTGCGTCGTTTATTAACATGCTGTGGAATTGTTGCTTTGGTGAGACCATAGCCGAGGGTTAAATCCAATGCTTGAGATGTTTCATCGTTGAAGCGTCTTTTTACTGTTTATTAACTTTGATTTATGATGAACATGATGTGCGTCATAAAATACATACTATTAGTTTATTGTTTCCTTTTTTTTCAAAATTTCTTTAGTTAAATTAAAATTATACATTTTTTTATTTATAATTTTCACTATCTTTATTTATAAGGAAAAATTTAACCCAAAAACATTTTTGATCGAAGGCGGGAAATCAGGCCTTTGCCTTAAGTCTCCTGTGCCCTTTTCGTTGTTTGACGTGTAGTATGGCGGTGCCGAGATCGGTTCTTTGAATCTTCCCAGATTTCTTCCCTTCGGCCTTTCTCTGGCTGCCGACCATCATCTCTATCCAGCGGTGGTGCATCCCCCGGCGTGGCGTCGGCAACGGATCCGCTGGAGTGCCCGGCGACCGCTCGCCCTCGCGGAGACGGCGATGGATCCGTCTTCTTTCGGAGTCAGCAGGCTGGGAACAAGACGCACACGTGAGGCCCGTGGTCCCGATCGCCACCTCGAGCTGTGGGCGACGACCTTGCAAGTGGTAAATGGTAAAGCGTTCTTCCTGATCGATCCGATTCCCCTTTTTTTCTTGGCTTTTCGGACGGTGTGCGCTTCTTGAGTTCTGCTCCTTGCGTTGATTCATTCTTCTTGGGTTTCCTGGCATTCGGTTGTGCTTCGTCCGTCGTGATGGTGAGTTTGCGTTCTTCCCGATTGATCAGATTCCCTTTCTTCTGGGGTTCTGCTTATTGCGTTGATTCGTTCATTTTGGGTTTCTTGGCGAATGGTTGTGCTTCGTCCCTTGTAATCATGATCATGGCAGTTTGAGTTCTTCCTGATCGATCCGATTCCTTTTCTTCTTGCCTTTGCGGATGGTGTGCGCTTCTTGCGTTGATTCGTTCTTCTTGGGTTTCCTGGCATTCGGATGTGCTTCGTCGCTCGTGATCATGGCAGTTTGCGTTCTTTCTGATCGATCCGATTCCATTTCTTCTTGTCTTTTCATTTCTCGCTGTTTTTTGCTACGGATGGAGTTCTGTTTTCGTTTCGAGGTAATAAACGAACGAATCGGAACAAGAAATTGGTACAAAAACACTGCTTGAAAAGGGGAGAATAAATGAGAAATTGATTCGATTGTTCATTCCTCTGCCATTAAATCAAAAGATAGGTATAGGGTAATCTTGCTAGGTTTGGCTGCCCCAGGAAGCTTTTTTAGTGTAATTAACCACCGCATAACGTTTTTTAGTGTAATTATGAAAGAATCCAATGCTGCAAGATGCTTGTGTAAATTAGTTCGTGTCAAGATACATGTATGATTGTTCTTACTCATGAAATCGTTGTGTTTTTTGAAATTTAGAATATCTTCATTTATTATACCCATCTTTTAAAGAAATGTTTCTGTATTTTGTTAAACAATTAAAGTGCTCTGTTCAATTATTTTATCATACATACATACATACAAACTATCTAGGAATGAATTTAGCAAACATTAGGTTGGGGCACAAATGCTCTGTTCTGATTCCAGTGTCAAGATACATGTATTATTGTTTTTTTATTATTTTAAAGTTTAAGACTACTTTGATTCATTATTTCCATGTGTTCCTGCGGCTTGTCAGACGATTCAAGTAGCTTGATTCAGTTGAACAAATGGTGGAAAGGGTGAAGAGTAGTCCAGTATGAGGCGATATCATTTCTTTCTTGGCAGTTCACATTGGTGGTTAACAAAGAACAGCCTGCTTATTTTATTAAAGGAATAATGTTAATTAAATGGGTTGAGCCTGGCCATGAGGAGCCATGATTAACACCACTGTAATGGTGGGTGGTACTAGCAAGAGATAGTTTGTCTTTCACTATTTTTTTCAATATTCACCAACACATACATGCTGCGAGTATGACAGGCTATATAGGTAGACTTGAATTTAAATTGTGACTTGGATGCTTGTGGTCGACCCACCATATTTCTTGGGTAGAACAATGGATATATATAGGGCAGTAGTTACTCACAATCTTCAAACTTGTGATGATACTAGTTTTTGGAAGGTTTGTCTGTCCCGGTAACCTTTACACATGGCTTAACATAGTTATTTAATCATCATATGCTTTAGTGTAATTATGAAAGAATCCCATGCTGCAAGACGCTTGTATAAATGACTTTCGGTGTCGAGATACACGTATGATTCTTCTTACTCATGAAATTGTTGTGCTTTTTGAAATCCTTCTTCTAAAGATATATTTCTACAATACAAAAAATATTTCTGCAATACATATATATATGTATATATATATGTATATATATATATATATATATATATACACTAATTCTCTGTCTAGTTTATATAAACATATATATAAACTAATAAAGTTGTCAATGCTCTGTGTAGCCATTGATCATCTATCTGTGGTATGCAGTATGCAGCCCCAATTAAAATGGTCATTGTGAATGCAGCATTCATTCCAGCAGGGAGAAAACAGTTGCATTGGCTTTCTAGAAGGAAATGCTGGTCCACAATAAGGAGGCTTTCTCGCACTCGCTTGAACCTCCTCAGATGAGGTATGGTAAAACCTCCTCAAATGGCGACACTAGCTGTTGATAGGAACCAGGATGAAAGGAAACATTTATAACAGAACTACAGAGGACGATATTACATTCACTATAAAAACACTAAGTTTCTCATTATACTACAAAACCGTGGTGGGACCAGGAAACTATGATTAACCAGTCTTATTTATCGGGAATTATTGCATGCTCTAATTCACAGAAATCAGATAAGTAAAAAGTAACCAAGACGACAATGGCAACATAGCTTTGGCATAAATTTTTTAATTCATGAATAAAAAAAAGAGTAACTAAATTCAACATAATTTAATTGAGCAGGACCGTATTTAGTATTTTGAATTGAATGCAGCTGAACAAATGAAGATATTTGAGGATGATAAGAAACCCATAAGGAACAACAAGAAATAGTATGAATGTTGACAGCTAAGCCTCCTGAAAATGAAAATGATGCTTATTTGAACCATGGAACAATTGATGACATGTTTGAACCATTCATTTGGTTACAGAACTATTTGGAAGCATGCCAGAAAAAAAGATTAGGCAATTGGAATTTGGTAAAGTAGTTCAGCAAAAGAACGAGAAAAGGTGAGCGCTGCTACTTCAGCACCTCACCTCAAGTGGAAAGTGCAGCAACACACACACATACACACACGTCTTTTTGATAATACAGACACATGTCTGACAGCTAATTTGTAGGCAAAACAAAAACGAAAAAAATGAAGATGTTTAGGCAGTTAGGACTCAAAGCTGTGCCCTGTAAATGATCGGAGTAACAGCTAACATGTCGTCAACCCACAAAGCAAAAAAAAAAAAAGCAAAAACAAGCAAATATTAAGCATAGTCAAACCAGCCAAAGATCATGCACCTCAGGTGGATCACTGCCACTTTCCATCATGATTTGACAAAAAAGGTCCTCATGTCTCAACTTCTTCAGAATATTCAATTTTGACGACGAAATATGTACACTTTGAAAGTTGGAGCATATATTCTCCAAATGTTCCATCCTATTTTGCAAATGAAATGGATAAATCACATCCCACACATTATAAAAATCATGGATTGAGGTGCCATTTTTACTTTAATCCATTATAAAAATCATGGATGCACTTCCCACAAATTATAAATATACCATAAGTGCACCAAAACCACATGGCATTTTGCATATAATTTCTCATGCCAAAACAGGCAGCATGCAGCATGCTAACCCTTAATGTAAGCCATAACCAAGTCTTGATAAGGTTTAGAAAATTAAATATCTGCACACATTCAAATAACTATAAAATTAAGGCTACTTGTTGTGCAAATAAAAACCCGATTTGAACCAACTTCCAGCCAAACTGATATTAAGTAGTACAATAACACCAATTAACTAAAATGTTTGGATATTTTAGTTAAGAAGCAAAACATAACATTCACATCAACCTCAAGAGCAAAATGGTATAATATAAAGTTACACACTCCAGGTGTTAATACTCGATGGCCAATTCAAAAATCAACAACAAATTATCCAAAAGAGCTTCAGCATGTTTTGATATGGGATGATTAATTTGCAAATTTTTTCTTGATAAAGGATCAGATCATTCTAGCAAGAATATGGAATTTTTATGACTTATGAGTGGCTTCAAATGAGAGCTTCATCAGTGCAAAGGGAATAGCTATGCATAAGAAGATGAAATTACATTACATATAAAAGGAATCAAGGTGACACACCTGCTCTGCAACAGCATATAGAATTGCAAAAACGCATTGCAGACAGCAACAAACAGCAATACCAATCACACAAGCCAGAGACAACAGAGAACAACAAAGAACACATCAAATGCTAAAAAGACTATGTACGCCCTGCAACGTAAGAAACATTTAAACTTAAAACATTGCCAGAAGTGCTTTACAAACTTAAACATATCTGCCAAAAAAGGGCAAGATATGATAGAATCAAGAACCAAGCAAGGTATCAATGATAAAAAAATGGAAGAAAAAAAATATACAAACTTAAACTATCTTCTATCCCTGTAGGACATGAATATTAAGACAGAAAAGAAATGTACGAAGCTACATAAGAGTCAACTAATTCATTTATATCATAAACACGATCTTTGTCCTTTCAAGAACTGTGGTATCCAAAGCCAAAGAAAAATTGTTTTATGCATACAAGAACTAAAGCTAAATCGTAGCATACTGCAAAATGCAGAGCTAGACTCTAGACACGCCTTTTCAGCAATCTTAAATTTGACTATATCCCAAAGTCAGAATTTGACTTTTGAACATGATTTTTTTTTTGACAATTAAAAGTTAGTCTATCAAGTTATAAAATTGCCTAAACCATTATTTCTGCCCTTTCCATTTCGAATATGACCGAGTATTTATATAAGTCATACACAAGGGAAATTGCTACTTGAACAACTGATCTCTGACACAACTGAGCTAGTGACTACATAGAGCCATTAAGTATCTCACATCCTTCTCATGTCGGCCAAATGAGGAAACTACCTCAATTTCTTGATTGTTCTGTCTTGCCATGCCTACACCTTTAAAGAAGCAAAAGAACCTATACGGTAGATTTAACTGCTAGGAGTATATATGACTAGAAGAAGGTGAATGAAGAAGATGAGATCAAGCAAAGCTTTTAAAGATTTTGGTGCATCCTGAAGATCTTGACTACCTTGCATTTCTTATAAGACAAATTATTTTTTTTAAATTTCTGTAATCTTTCAGATCCAAATTTAATGTAATAGATAATTGAGTTTGTGCTTGTGCTTTCAGTTATGAATTTGCTTAGAATAGTTTCGCTAGCTCACTTTTCAAGTTTATTCATGTTGATTGATCTTAAACTCTATTTTAGGCAATCAGCTGGTTATTTGTAAATTTATATAGCCATTTGTTTTCATTAAAGAGGTATCACTAATAAAAGAAAATTATATGTTCGAAAGAGGAGGGGGATTGTAGGTTCTCTTTCTATACACTTTTCTGCCCCTTTTCCTTCCCTTCTTTCTGGTCTCTTCCTTTCAATGTTCTATTCTTTCTGCCACAAACATGAAACCATCAGAAGCAACCAGCAAGGTGTTGTCTTCCTGCTAGATAATTTGCTAGAATAAACAACCACCAGCAGATTTGTCTTCACACAAGATTGTTAGATTAGATCATCACTAGAGCCATCTTTTGAAACTTTTTTCAATTAATCCTTAAAGAGATCAAATTCTAATATACTCAGACACTAGATCAAATCAGATTGGTTATGGTGGATCAAGATAAGGAAAAGACACTGGCATCTAAAGACATTCTTTTCTAGACAAAAACTTGGAGAATGAATGTTCTACCCCAACTGATATTGCACAGAAAAGCTTATCTTTATACATACAGTCTGCTTCCTTCTCTTGAAGCTTTGGTGTTTATTGATATTGATCTGCCGAAAGTGATAATAATAAACACGAGTAAAAATAATAACAAAAGAAAACCTTACAGTGGTGTTATGATTCTTTATGCCATAGCTTAGGAAGGGGCACGGCTTGGTTCGGTCCCGATAGTGTAAGGTCGTTCGCGTGGTTACTCGGAAGAAAAGCTTCACGGAGAAGGGATGAAGAATCGTGGTCGTCGTCTCCTAGAATGTTTTTTGGCGAATCCGCGAGCGGCTTCTGGTCCTGAATCGCTGTGCAACAGGTCAACGCCGAAGATTGAAGTTCTAGCTTGAGCCCTCCGAAGCTTAAGTCAGTTTTTGTAGATAGTGAATCCACTCCCCTGGCATCTACTTGGGAGTGGTTTTTATACCTTTCGTAGGGAGTCAGCTCCCCCTATGCTTGCTGGCATCCGCCGACATTTCCGACGGGCGGTTTGTCCAAGGCCATCCTCTCGACCCCATGCCTTGCGGGGTTATATCATCGTTGGCAAGCATCGCTTGATTCCGAACGGCGTGGATTTGCTGCGTGTCGCTTCAAAGCGAGGCAGCATCGCTTCTGAGCTGGGCTGCGTCGCTTCAGGATGCAACCGTTCTTGAATCAATCTGTGTCGTTTCACACTGCATTGAGATATGTGCATTACTTTGACTGGAGTGACGCCACGTGTGATCTGAGGTGGTTGCCAGTTGGGTGGTACCAAAATATCCTTTATCAAGTGGTATAAACAAAATGTTCTTTATGATAAAAGACCATGTGATGTTGTCAAATCAAATAATGCATATGTCCTGAACAATCTCCCCAGCGTACAGTTAAACTAAATCTAACACACTAAAAGAAAGCCCATTAACATCATGAAAGAAGGTAAGAAAACCAACTGATATCTAATGATTATCTCTCCAAGTACAAATAGACAGGCCAATCGGTCACATAGCTCAAGATAATTACTGACATGAGAATTTGTTCAAGAATCATGGATATCTGTTCAAGAAACATGGTAATTTGTTCAAGAATCACAGTATTTGTTCAAAATATCACAAAATTTTTCAAGAATCATGGTATTTCTTCAACAATCACAATATTTGTTCAACAATGACGGTGAACAGTGATTCTATATGCATGTGAATAACAAGAAGGCGTACAGTTGTGCTGTTTTGTCAACATTGCAAAGGAAGGCAGATCGACTGTAAATTAAGTAGGCACATGATGTGTTCAAAAGCCAAAAGAAAACTAGTGAACCGTAATAATAATTCTACACGAGTGTTCATAGCAAGAACTTGCAATATTTTGTTACCATTCTGAGGGAAGATTAGTGACAGAAGATCGCAGTTAGGCTTTAGCATTCGGAAGGAGAATTAGTGAAAGCTAACATTCAGAATCCTTACCTGGTACTATCTTCATCTTGGTACTTTTCCGCAGCTTCTCCCACCTCCCTTGGTCAATTCGAGCCTGAGCTCCTTCCACTTCCACCCTCTTCCTCGTCAAGAACATCTCCCTCAGGGTCTCATCCCGCCTCAAGATCGAGACCCCAACAGCAACGCCCAAGAACGCCAGGGGCTTCGAATAGGCGCAGTCGCTGCGTCTCCCGCACCATCATCTACGGCCCCCCGCTTCATGCGCCGGCTGCTCTCCATCCCATCCCGAAACCCTAATCGCGCGATCGCTTCGCTTCCGGTCATCGCGATCTCCGAATCAAGATCCTAACCTTGAAACCCCAGGCGAAAGAAAACAACGAGAGCTTTCGGCTTCGACGAGGAAGGAAGGGGAAAGACCGCTCAGGCTTCGATGAGACCTCTCATGGTTCTCGATCGCGAGCGACGGTTGGGATGCAGTGAACGCGAGGCGGGACGGGTATTAACATATGGGTCCTGAATGGGCCGGCCCAATAAGAGTAGGCCCGATGCTATGATGAGACCACTAACAACACCACGTCTCTCCTTTCATCCCAAACATGCTTGATTACAAATGATTCACATATTACACACAAATGTATGGCATTGATAGGGAACTTTTACATAACTGTATAAGGAACTCTTGCAACCGTGGAATCGATACAACAATGTACACGTTAACTACAAGAGACTCAGCCCCGTCGTTTGATTTGGATGAGCAAAATCCAGTCGAGAAGCCAACCCACCCACCGCTAGCCATCTCTCCCACTAGTACCACCTGATAGATGAAACATTCGCAAGCAGAACTCAGGCATTGATCTCCGAATTGCACTGATGCTCTCGGTGGCAGCTTCTTCGACCCCAGAACATACCTGAGCAGCTCGCATCAGCCCTTTGCTCTTCCATTTTTTCCAGCTCATCTGAGGTGATATGCGAAGAGTGGGCCGACTGCGCTTGAACTTCTCCCTGGGATCCATTCGATGGGCACGGGTCATCATCACAGTTGCAGGAGGGGATGACACCCGAGGTAAATGGGGCGCAAGTAAGAGGGCAGATGATCTCTGACGATACAGCAGCCACCCGATTCCTGCGGACCTCCGATCTGCATGCCACAGGAACATCAAGAGCACGAGGGTGTAGAATGCAGGGGTTGCAGAGGCTGAGTGCTAGGTTGGGTTTGAAGCCTTTCGCAGGGGTACTGGGCAGTTTGACGAAAGAGACTATGCCATGCCGGCAGAAAGGGCATGGAATTGAACCAGGTGGGCCCACAATTTCGGATGGAGTGTTGCTTGTCGAGCAAAGATAGAGTGCGCACTGTATGCAGAGCTCATGGCCACAGCCTGAAAACAAAGTTAAAAGGAAAGTAATATGATTAGATAACATATAATTACTTTCTGGTTAACCAAGAGCAATAAAAGCACAAGGGCTTCTTATATGTGCTAATGGGAGAACCTAGTTTCCTATCAATTTCAGAAATAACATTTTCGATATCAACCGAGGCCCTAACAAGTAATCCACATAAAGGAACAAATAAAGTCTCCTGGATGTCACTTATCATGATCAGGTACCTCAATAGCTCAATAGCTTGTTAAGAGTGAACCTAAATAAACACATATGGCCTACTTGATTTAGTGTCAACACCACATAAAATAATTATGCTACCCATTCAAGTGCAAGACCATTATGGTGTCACTCACAATTTAGTACATATATTTGGCCAGTGTATTTGTCATGCTCTAGTTGATCAAGTCAGGGAATACCAACAGATTCCTGTCAACTACGTTGCTTCAGCAACAGAATCTATAAGTACAGGTGTGCAATTACTTTATATTTATTTTCCTTCTTAATTTTCTCTATACAGCATTAGTTATATCTAAAAAAAATTAATGGTGAAAAAAGATCCATGTAGCCATCATCAAATAAATGAAACAATACAGCTTATTGTTGTGTATATCTAAAATCAATTCTGAGAAATTGGGTGGCTATTGCACCTTGTAATAGAACTTACAGTTATCTCTTATAAAATACTTCTGCCTGGTTAAGGGGGGTTTTTGGAGGTTCACTCATGATTAAAAATATTCTGTGTTTAATGCATGAAATTTAAGTCTTTCTGGTTCTTATAAGATTATCTGGTTCCTATGAAGATTGCAATATATAGATGCACTGCATGTACTAAAAGAAGCTACAGAATCTTTTTCTTAATTTGAAAGTTTTAAAGGATTGTTGAATTTATTAAGCATAAAGCTACCAGAGGTTCATTAAACCCCATGATAGAGGTTCAATGATAACAAGTAGAGAACTGGATACTCATTGTGTTAATGTACATATGATTTGTATCATGCAAATTGCAAATTTATTTATTTATTTGAACTCTCTCAATGATTTCCTTAGTTGTCTCTTCATTCTTTCTGAAATCATCAATCTTTCAGACTTGACACAAAATTCAGAATACTAAGATGCTGTTAGTTAATTATCTGCTCAATTTACTAATATCTGTTACATACTAAGCATTTGCAAAGCATGTGCAAGAAAAGTATATATATAGGGGTAGTGGAAATCTCTGAAGACCCATGCACCCCAAAGAACAAAAGAATGACGGAAATAAAAATCAAGATCAGTTGCTACAAGCCATCACATAGCCCACAATGGAAAAAAAGGACATAAATTCTTTGAACTCAAGCATTTTATTCTTCAACATGAAAAGTCTCAAGTGCCTATTTTGAAGTGTCATTGTCATGGTCAACTTCTTTTATCATCTTAAACCTATCAATCATTGGCTTCGGTTCTAAAATAAAGTAAGAATAAAGTGTGCCTCTATAGAGTGGTCATGTTTGTAATGCCTACATTAGGCTATGTCCATCCACGTTCATTGACCAACAATTAATTTCTGTTTGACCCTGCTTAAGCTATATGGGGAATAAGTGTGGATCTGGCTCACCTTCTGAAGCAACACTGCAGGCTCTTTCAAGGCATACAGCACAGAGATCAATATCATCAACGGCAATTAAAGACTGTAACCCAGACTCCCTGCAAATAACATGTGAATTATACTAAATTACATCGCTAGATAGGTGGGATAATTACAACCAACAAATAAGAACACAGGATTTAGCTCTTAGATAATCCAGCAGAAAGCAAGAACCCTTAAATCATGGGAATCAAACATATAACGGGAGGTATTCCTAATTACAATTGGGATTGAGAAGCCAATCCAACCAAATACATGAAACAGTATATTTCACTATATAAATTTCTGGTATTAATAAAAATAACAGCTGTAACATGTAATTATTTTAAGTGGATATATATTGAGCATAAAAGTTTCAACTTGGTAGAGTGATCCCTACTACACTTTGGGATGAATTTATATGTCTCTTTTCTTTTGGTTTTTTTTTCTTCCTGATTTTCATATACAAAGAGATATTTCACATATTGGATACTTGACATATAATCTTGATCAGATGAAAACACTCGGCTAATCTTCTTCTTTTTTTTCAACTGCTCATGAAAGTTTTTTCATGTAAAATTTCCTCATAGTTAGGTTACATTGAAAAGGACAATAATTTGAAGTGTTACATGTGCAATCTTATTGTCTTACAGAACCTAACATATATAGTCTATGCAATCTGCTAGGCACATGAAACAAAAATTTTCAATCATCTGATCGCTTTATTCAAACAATAATAGCTCCAGTAAAACCACAAAAGCTATCACGTATCTTTGAAAGCATCAAGAATCTTATAAGAACCTTTCCTTTATTGTGATAGCTAACTTGTGATCCTTCTACCACTAGAAGTGCCAAATTGGTGCTTCAAGAATGCCTTTGAAAGGAAAACAGAAAATTCAAGACCTTTAAGCATATGTCACTCTTCCTTTAGCTAGAAAAAAAAACTATTTATCTTGGCATAAATTACGCCTGCTGTTATGATGTATATAAGATAAGGAAGAACTGATGCCACATGAAAAAGAGATGGTAGCATTATTAAATGTGGTTGGAAAGAGAACTTTCGGCACTGACAGTATATGAAATAATATTTCTCCCAGAACACCCAA